CTTTAAAGTTGATTTATTTTGGGGGTTAATGCATCTTATAGCTGTTAAGCCAGGCGTACACTGTACAATGTTTTTGCCCTTTTTGGGTCAATTTTCCAGTCATGTGAGAATATTTTCAATCGGGCCGACTTTCAATCTCATGGTGCGTCCAACGTTGTGTAGTGTACAGAGGGTAACGAGGGTAATCAACCTCTCACGATAACCTCCCCATCGGAATCGTAAGGTTGCGAGAAAATCAAACATGTTTGAAATTCAGTCGGCCGTCGTAAGCTTCGTGGACAAATCCTGCTGTTGAAGCAGAGCTACGATCCGATTTACCACATTCAGCACTGTACATGTGCAAACAAGGGAGTTCTTCTTCTTCTGCCAGAATGACCAGAATGACGAGTCCGACCAGCGCCATCTCTCGGCGCTGACTCCGACGTGGTTTTAGACGTACAGTGTGAGCAGGTAGATCGCATCAGAGGATCGGGCCACACAGTGTGAGAACAAACATCTTGAACTGGGAACTTTTCAACCCTGCGGTTTCGTCGTACAGTGTGAGCTATAGCCTTGTGCAACGACTGAAAATATCGCGCAGTGTAAGCCCGGCCTTACATGTAAAACACCTGTTATAGAAAAAGTATCAGAGAAACATGGCCGCTCTGGGCTTCTGTACTACGGCTGAAGCATCATTTCAGAACAAAATATAAATAACAGTAGTTTTTCTCTCAACTCTAAACTACCTGCAAAATGACAAGACCACTTCCTGCTGGGAATGTCAAAATAAAAGCACTTCCTGTTTGGTTCAGCTACATTTATTGCTTTTTTACTCACTTCCTGCTCTCTGCCTCATTCAACGTGTTGCAATCTGAACTTTAAATTTAAACATCTTGAGAATATTTATATAAACCTAGAAAAATATGTCCATTATTGAAATGTTCCTGAAGTGGTTAACATCTGTGGGTTTGGATCCTAACCTTGAGGAAGACAGAGTCAGGGGAGACTTGATGTTTATTCGCTCATTAAGAGACAGAGATTGACTTGGAAAAAATGAAGAATCTTCTAACGTCTCCAAACCATCTGATGGATAATAAGACCAGAACCTCCAGCTCAGACATGCTGCTGCTTTGGCTCGATTCTGGAGGTTCTAGGAGAACTTTAGCAGAAACTCCCAGAGAACCATTTGATGATGGTCAGAATAAAGAGAATCACCTCCAGATCGGATCAGGTCTGGCTCTGTCTGCTGTGTTGAGGTTCTGCTGGGGCTGCTGAGATAAGGTGGGTGTGGCCAGCAGCAGAGGGTTACCTTAAATTTAATCAAAGTTATTCCTGCACTCTACATGTTTTTATTTCAACCGCTTATTAACATTTTACATTGACTGGTATTAATTTACTT